CATGTAAACCAAAACCAGATATTATTGAGACCAGTACTTTACAAGAACCGACCCACTTCGTATTATTTATTGATTATTCTTTCACCAAATAAACCACATTTGAACAATTTTTACAAATGAAATTTATTATAGATATGTAGCTGTTTGGTGTACTCTGTGATCTTTTCTGCTTATACTCAGAAGTGATCCATACAGGGATCTAAGTTCAAGGATACGACCAGTAGAATAGTGAAAATTTATCGCAACAATGTCTTTGAGTTTGATGGTTGTCACATTTCATTTGTCTTATCCTTATTTTCCTTGCTTTCTTTACTGTGTGAAATTCCGTACGTATGAACTTGGATGGTAAATATTAGACTTGTTCTGATTTTTTTTCTGTAAACCCGTCCTATTATTTCAAATCTATATACCATTGGGGATCATGGCAACACAGTATTTACACAATACGAAGAGACTGAATGACACTTTTAGGAACTTTTTCAATATGAATCTTGCTCCTGGATTCCAAGCCGTATCAAGGGAGGGAGAGGAGAACAATTTAATTGAATATAATAGAATGATTAGAGATTATCTGATAACCTTGAGATGTTAGTATATCCCAAATCAACATGACTGCCATTGAAGACATCTAGTTCATATGGTTTTGCATTTCATAAACGAGGATGAAATATAAATATTTAAATGATGCATTCGATGAATAATTTATTTTCCAGGGAGACTTTTTCTTAATTTTCCTTTTAAATGTTTTTTTCTCCTTCTTTTTCACTCTAAAACAGATTAGCCTTCTTTTCTTTAGTATTTTATTTTTTTCATACAGTCGCAACATTGCTTACCAGAGTAATAAAATCATAAGGACAAAGTATTATAAGGAAACAAAGTTCTTAGACTTGATTACTTTTTTCTTTGGTTGGTTCACTTTCCACGTTAAAAAATAAAGGAATTACTTTTTCTACACACCACCCGACGTTTCATTTGTCTAAGACAACTGAAATTCCAATCAAATAGATCTATTTAGAAATATATATACATACATACATATATTTATATATATCTGCATCTATATCGTTATAGATCTATCTATCTATATATCTATATATATATATATATATTTACGTATACAAATATATACTCCACCGTATTGTGACACGTAGAGTTTCTTCTTTTGTTGTTATTTATTCAATAACCACCACCTCTGTAGCACCATGTTCATGAATCAAAAACTTGTCCCTAAAGGACTCACATCGACTCTTAATCCCAATGACAAGCGTTACACCAACACCCATTTGACATCTGGCGCAGCACTCAAGGAGGTTAAGCATAGTGACTATACCCGCACCAATGGCAATGATCTACAAGCCGATGATGCGTGTGAAGCCCAGGCCGGTGGTCGCCGCTCTGGAAGCAAACGGGACCACGACACCGCTGTCTCGACTGATGTGAATCCAAAGCTAAACAGTGTT